TAAAAGCTAATATGTTCTTTCATGAAAACCTTTGTATTACTATTAAAATTTTAGTTTTTTTCCTAATTGTAAAGAAATACTTATTATCTAAAAACTCAAGAAAATACAGTGAAACATAATTTATCTTTGGGATATGTTGTATTTATTCAGTGTATCTGTGTTGCTGCAGTTAGCTGTTGTTTTTCACTGATGTATTAAGTTCCGTTGGAAAATAGTCTCCACTTTCCATTTTTCTGATGATTTTTCAATTGAGGTTTCCTTTCATGTTTTGTAAAAGTTTCCTAGTATTGCATTTATATCTGAATTTTATACTTGCAGGAGGAATTGTTGTGCCTTGACTTTGTATCTATCAATTTATATTTTAACAGTTCTGGTTCTCTATACTTAATTTTATCAGATTTCCTAATATTTGCTCATAGAAATGATCATTGTGTGGTATATTGATGTGGGCTGTCTGATTAGGTGAAGTTGAACACCTTTATTATGTGTGTGGTCCTAGTTCCCCTACCTACCTACTTCCAGTACTGGGGTTTGAACCCAGGCATGCCCTACCACTAAACTTCATCCCCAGCCCTTTTATTTATTTACTTTGAGAAAGTATCTCGCTGGCCTCAAACTTGCAATCCTACCTCAGTGTCCCGAATAACTGGGCATAAGCCATTCTATCTGGCTGTGTGTGTGTGTGTGGGTGGGGGGGTTCTTTTGTTTTTATTTGTAGTACTAGGTATTCAGTCTAGTACCTTGAGCATGCTAGGTAGACGCTCTGTGACTGAGCCACATTGCCAGGCTTCATGTGTTGTATTAATTGGTCATTTATAGTTCCTTTTCTATGTAAAGTCTTTTGTTCTTAATAAATAGTTAGTTTCATTGTTATTGTTTTTGTAGGAGTTCTTTATATGTCACGAATACACATACATGGACATGCATATATGTGTGTATATATATTGTGTGTATATAAATATACGCACATTCACATAATAATACTTGTTTTAATGTGTCTTCTAGTTGAGGCTTGTCTACTCACAGTGTCTCTCAATGAACAGAAGTTCTTAATTTTAATTCATAGTCCTTTTCTAGTATATTCTTTGAGAGTCATTTTTAATAAATCTACTGAAAAGGTCATAAAGACGTTCTTTTAAAGTTTTATTAGTTTTGCTGTTGAAATTAAAGTCTTTAATCCATCTTCCAGTTTAAAAAATTTAAATATGATAACTTTTTACCTAAAATACATAGTTCACATTTTCTTTTTTTTAATATTTATTTTTTAGTTTTAGGTGGACACAATATCTTTATTTTGTTTTTATGTGGTGCTGAGAATCGAACCCAGTGCCTTAGGCATGCTAGGCAAGCGTGCTACCACTTGAGCCACTTCCCCAGCCCCAGTTCACATTTTCTTGCATGCTTAGTATGTAGTGCCAAAATGTTTTATAAACAATGCCTTAAATAATGAGGGAGTTGTAATAGTGGAAACCCCCCAAATAAACATAAAAGATGACTTGCATTAATGATGACATTTTAAGATATTTGTTTAAAATTTTTTGTTTTAATTTCCCAGCCTTGGTCTCAATTGTAAATAATATGCCTGCCATTCTTTTAAGTTATCGATCACTGATTTCTGACTGAAGTGGTTTGAATAGCTGAGTCTTGCTACACAATAAGTGAGTCTCAAAATAAGAAGCTAACTAATTATGGCATAATATAATTTGAAAACATCTAGCTTGTCTGCTTTAATTTTATTACCTTTTAAGTTCTGTAATGTTCTGATGCTTAAGATATATGTTTACATATTAAGATATATAGGAAAACTGTCTGAAGCCCAGGATGATTCTGCATCTTTATCTTGTGCTTCTAGGGTTGTGACCTTTATAGTTATTTAATGAATGCCTTGTATTATACCAGCTGCTCTGCAGCTTTCCATCTCTATTGTCCACTGCTGGTAGTATCCTAGGAAAGGAGTACAGCCAATCTCCCTGAACAAGCAGTACAGGTTTATACCTGTAGATAGACTTGTATCTCATGATAAAACATATTAGCTTTTATTACCTAGGGACTGTTAATGTGCTTAGTTATATCAGCATTAATTTGAAGATAACATTTACAGTCATATAACCTAAGATGAAAAGTGTTCTTTTGGAAATGTTAGTAACACTTTCTAAAGTATCGTTTGTTATAGAACAGAAATTAAGTCAGTGTATATATAATCCATAAAACTGAGGAACAGGTGAATTAGCTAGTTTCTAGGTTTTGGTGTTTGATTTTAGAGGACTAATGAAACATCCTGCAAAGGCAGACACTGCTTACAATTTTCCTGTAATATTAGTGAATTGTAATTACAAGGAAGGTTGATGATCTTTTAAGATGTGATGCTAGTGTTGTCAGCTATCTCAGAGTCAGCCGAGAGCTTAAGGTGGTAACGCAGGTGGAGTAGACAGGAGGTTTAAGCAGCCTGTGAGTCTGTACACTTAGGGAAGAGTGAAGCTATTTGAGTACAACTGTCCTCTGTCACCTCGAAATGTTGGAGTTTACCACTGGCAGGGCTTTTACGTTCAAACTACATAGTGTAAATTAAATGGGCAGTTTTTGTAATTTGAGTAGAAAATATGTGTTATTCATTTGATACTGGTTCCTGGTATGTAATGGTCACTTAAATTACATTTGGGGAAAAAAGAATCACTTTGTTTATAGTATTTTCATTATGCAGTGTTTTTAAGAAAGGAACTTTACTTCATTGATAAATTCTTATATTTCAGTGTTTGTTGCACTCAATTACCCAATATTCTTAGCAGTCTCACAGTAGGAAGTGAGTTTATTTAAATCTGTTTTAAATGTTCATAATCTTTGCCTTTTTTTTTGTGTGTGTGTGTGTAGAGGTAAATACTATAGACTAACTATTTAATGTTAAATACTCAGTTTTATCTTTTCTCATCGGGAGGGACTGTTAATGTTTTCATTGAGTTTGTGTAACATTGATTAATAATGTTGGGCTTATTTCCTTTCTATCTGCTTAATAATATAATCAGTTGTTTTTACCTTAATATGAATGATGGTAAATAAGGATGAAACTCTTGTTTTTCATTGGCACTTTACACTTGAACATGGTATCAGMAATGTGGTATATAACAGGTAGTGAAATAGGGATATAACCTCCCTTATTATCAAGATGGGTAATCTTGGCTAAGTCATTCAAACAGTAGATCTTAGTTTCCTGGATCTTCAAGAATTCTAGTTTTATGAGAACATTTTAGATGGAAACCAACATCACAAGAGAAGTTTTGTGAATTCTCCAAGTGGTATATATTTTTGTGTGTATCACATTGTGTGTGTGTGTGTGTGTGTGTGTGTGTGTGTGTGTGTGTGTTTGAGGATGGCCATTTTGCTCAGAAAAGATTATTCAGGGCACTTTTGATTTTTATACTGAATATTAGATTTATTAAAGTTTTAAATTAAACAACTAAGAATTTTAAACTCAATTATAACACATTTGAATGAGCATTTTAAGAAATTTATTTTTTTCTAGCTTAAGATCCCTTTAACTTAAATTGAAACTATAAATTGAGCATTTATTTATTTATTGGGTACTGGGGATTGAACTCAGGGACACTCAATCACTGAGCCACATTCCCTGCCCTATTTTGTATTTTATTTAGAGATAGGGGCTTACTGAATTGCTTATTAGCTCCATGCTTTTGCTGAGGCTGGCTTTGACCTTGCCATTCTCCTGCCTCAGCCTCCCTAGTCGCTGGGATTACAGGTGTGTGTCACCACACCTGGCTGAGCATTTATTTTTAAGTACTTAAATCATCTGACAAAATTTTCTAAGTACTTAATTTTTCTAAATCTGATATTTAATCTCTTTTTCATCCTAATTACAACTTGACACTCTTTTCTTCTTAAATTATTAAAAAAATTTCTTTTTCCTATGTGTATTATAAATTTGTCTGGTTCATCAAGAACTTTTCAAGTTCATCGTGTTGGCAGTTTCCAAGCCATTTTGGAGTCACATTATCAGATGGCTCAGGTTGACTCTTAACAAAAATATGGGTTCGGGAGCTACAGACATCCAGAATGATTTTTTTCCTTATGAAAGTGGGGATATGTTGAACCTAGTTTTATACTTTCTGCCAGCAGCAACTCTGAGGACTGTGGAGTGGGGTGGTTTCTGAGCCTGCCATCCTGGTATTCAGGTTCCACATAATCTTCAAATATGAARGTCTACACTCCCTACACCTAGTATACATGACTGATTTATTTCAATTTATTTACTGCTTGATTATGTTTTGAATTATTTATTTTTCAATTTGGCAGGCAGGCATTTTTTTGAATATTTTAAGCATTTAAATACTTTAGAATAAATTGGATATTGTGTATCTCCCATGTCTTACCTGATTTTACAGTCAGAGTTCCAAGGTCATTGTCCYGACAGTTTACGTTCCAGTTTTCTGGAACATAAAGAGACTGTATCCTACAAAAGAAGTTAAACAGAACATGTAAACAGAGATTGTATTTGGATCACAACCCTGACTTACTCACATATAATGGGATACCTTAGCTCTCCAATTGTATTTAAAGCATTTTGCCAGAAATGTAATGTGAACCACATAGGTAATTTAAAGTTGTGTAGTAGTAATAGTGACAAGAAACAGGTGAAAATTAATTTCAATAATGTTTTGCTTAACCCAGTATGCTGTTATTTCAACATGTGATCAGTGTAAGAATTGAGATATTTTACATTTCTTTTTCATACTGTCTTTGAAATCCATTGTTATTTTTTTTTTTTCTTATGGGATGTCAATTGTTACAAACTAAACCACATTTCAGGTGCTCACTAACCACATGTAGGGTTTCTGTATTGGGCACTGTGGACTTCTACCTTTGCAATTAAGAGCTAGTAACTTAATTGTTTTGTATGTAAATATGTGTTTATTATTTTAGATATAGATTTCTTTGAGTAAAATGTAAAACATTCTAAAATGCTTATCTTCATTTCCTTTCTCTTAAAGGCCCTTCCTTCTTCCATGATTATAGTAGCAGTTTATTGTCCCGTGATAGCTGCTGTTTTCATTGTTCTGAAGATGGTCAACTATCGACTACACAGAGCACTGGATGCTGGAGAAATTGTAGATAGGAGTGCAAATGAGCTCACAGATCAGCGAACCAAAGCTGAACAAGGCAACTGTTCAACCAGGAGAAAAGACAGCAATGGACCTAGGTAAGAAAACCCATGTTGCTCAGTTTGTAACAACATAAATTGTGGTGTGTGTGTAATGATGTAATTACTGTGTTGTGTCTGTGTCTTTATATGGTTTGAAGGCAGTATTAGATCTTACCACTAAAGGTATAATGCCCAGGGCACATTGTAATATTAGAATAGAGCAAAACTAACTGGCATGTTTGGGGGATTAAATCAATATCATTGGCCTCATTTCTGAAGAGGTTAGAAAAATAGGTTACCACAAAATAGTTACTCATACCAACACCCAAAACCAAGGTAACACAGCTTGAAGAAATAATTTCAAAGCATAACTTATAAATCTCATCATTTAAAAAACTTACATGTATAAATGAAATGTATGTATATCTTAAATACATTGTGATGCTTTACTTGATATTATCTGCACGTTTCACTTTATTGTAAATAAAAATTTCAATTGGAGTCACATTATGTGACTCCAATTTCAATTTTATATTCTTCTTGTTGTTCTTTTTTGCAGTGTTGGGGATTGAACTCAGGGCCTTGCAAATGCCAGGGAAGTGCTTTACCACTGAGCTATAGGCCCAGCTTCAATTTTATATTTTAACCTTTGAAATTTAGTTGTTCTTTCCTCAGTCTTCAGAAGACTGACTTTTTAGGGTTCAAGTTTAGATAGATGTTGCCTTGGAAACTTTCCCTTCCTATCCCAGATAAAGGATTGCTCACAGCCACATTGTAACATATTTCCTTGGCTCTACTAGCTTTTTCTTTTTGAGGAGAAATCTACTTTGTTTATGGTCAAAAGTTTCTTGTGTTCTTATGGAAATAATAAATACTGCTAATATAAAGCTTAAAAACAAGCAGTTCCTATGTGAACATCTGACATATATTAAGCTCATTCAGTCCTCTAAATGATTCTGTGAGGTAGATGCTGTTTTATTCCTAACTTATAGACGTGGAAACCAAAGTGAGAAAGATCAAATAATTCAAGCACTCAAGTTCTGGAGTCTATTCTTTTATCCACTATGCTGTGTGTCCACTAGGCATATAATAATGAGCTATTTCAGATATTACGGTATAAATAATATAATGAAAGGTGGATGCTCCTATTAAGGCATGTAATATTTCTTTATTTTTCTAGTGCATTAAAAGACTTTATCTCTTTTCAGTTATATTTTTTCCTCATTCCTATATGATTGCCACATTTGTTCATTGTGCAGGTATTTTACGTTTGTAATGATTTTATTCATTGTCTTAATCACTACCTCAAATTATCTGAATTGAATTTATAAACTTCTTGAAATCAGGGACCTTTTCTTAAAAACTATTATATTTCCAGGCCTTAAAATCAGTTTCTGGCACTGATTATTCCTTGGCTAATATTTGAAGTAATGAAAACAAAATTTCTGTGGTATTATTTTTACTGATGCATAGTATTTCCTTGTGTGGATGTATAATAATTTACCTATCCTATTTTTAGTTATTTTCATATATAAATTTCAATGTTAGAAAGATCACTGTGATCCTTAAATTTTAAATGATTAAATGTTTTGCCATGATTTATCAGAGGTATAGTTACTGGAAAGGCTACATATATATATATATATATTTTTGGTACGGGATTGAACTCAGGGGCACTAACCACTGAGCCACATCCCCAAACCTATTTTGTATTTTATTTTGCTGAGTTGCTTTTAGCACCTCACTTTTGTTGAGTCTGGCTTTGAACTTGAGAGCCTCCTGAGTTGCTGGGATTACTGGTGTACACCACCGTACCTGGTGGCTACATACATTTCTAAGCTTTCTAATACATATTGCCAAATTCCAAAGATTTGCTGTTTAACTATCATGATCTGCAGTTTGAGGACCTCCCCCACCCCCTTCTCTTTTAAACCTTTGACAAATACTGGGTTAGTATTTTTATAAAACACTGATAAAACCCTCAGTGTTTTATATTTCTGCTTTTGGATTACTAGCAAAATAGGGGCATTTTTCTTGTGTTTTTGTCATTTATATTTTTGGGGGGCTTGTTTATTTTTCTGTTCTTTTTTTTTTTTTAACTGTTGGTTTGGAGAGATATATATTTACGATGGATTTTAACTGTTTGTCCTATGTGCCAAGTACTTTTACTCAGTTTCTATCATAATTGTTTTTGTATGCCACGTATTACTTTTATGTCAGCTGAGCTTGAATCATTCTCAGTTATAAAATATTAGAAAAGTTACTTAAGCTTTCCTCTGCATAATTGTTCCAATTATTTCTGGATTTTATGTATATGTGTATATATGTTTTTAATTGCTTCTGTTAATGAGTTACTTTTCTGTTTCTTTTAGTTTAGAAGTATTTATTGTGAAATATATGTATTCCAAAGAATATATCAAATATATGTATAATTTAGAGAAAAATAGTCAAATGAAATGAATTGCCCACTGCACAGCATAAGAAACAGGGAAGTATACAAACACCATAGAAGGTCTATGCTTTTCTTTCCCATTTCATTCCACTCTTCTCTTTAAGAGGGACCATAATCTTGTTTTTTGGGTGAATAATTCCCTTGATTTCCTTTACTGTAATACAATCTTTGTAGCTATCCTTAAACATATGAAATATTTATTTTGTCTGCTTTAGGATCTTCTAAAGAGAATCATACAATGTATGTTTCTGTGTGAGGGACTTTTTGGGTATGGTATGTTTTGTATTATTGATTCATTCATGTTAAGGCTTATGCCTATGATTTATTCATATTCACTGCCATGTAGCCTCTTGCTATAGGAATAGATTACAATCTTTGTCCATTCTTCTGCTGATAGTTATTCAGATTATTTCCAATTTTTGCTCTGATAGCACATTATTGTACATGACTTCTAGTATACATGTGTATATCTAGTTTACATAAGGCAATTTGTAGAGCATTTTCTTGTTTAATTTTAGTAGGTAATTCCAAGCTGTTTGCCGAAATGATTTTTACCAATTTATACTCTAGTAATATGTGAAAGTTCCTTATTCCACAGTCTCATCAGTATTTGATATTGGCAAACTTTTAACATTTGCCATTCATGTGAGTGTAAAATATGTCTCACTGTAACTTTTAGTTAACCTTTCTGATTATTAATGAGGTCGAGCATCTTATTTTATATATAGGTTCCACTTAGGTTTTCTCTTCTTCCCGGTGTCCATTTATRTCTTGTTTAATTTTTCTTTGTAGTTTTTTCTTATTGATAAGTAGAAATTTTAAAAATGTTTATGCTTCTTCTTTATTAGTTATATACATTATAGACGTCTCCCAGTTTGTGACTTTTAATTTTGCTTTCTTTTGATTATCATGTATTCTTAAATTTAAATAAAATATAATTTATCATTTTTAAAAATGAGCATTTTTGTTTTTTAGGAGATTATTTCCTATATAGAGATATGAAAAGATATTCTTCACTATTGACTTTTTAAAGTTTCATGTTTCTTTTATTTTCACATTTCGGTTCTCTCTGAAATTATTTTAGTGTCACATAGGGATTGACTTACTTTTTCTTTATGAATGATTAATTTACCTGTTTGTTAAGAGGGCTGTCTTTTCCTTAGAAACCTGCAGTATTTGCTGTCATGAACATAAGTTTCCTTATGTGGTGGTGTGTTTTAGGGCTCTCTTTTCTATTTGGTTAACCTGGTTGTCTATGCCTTGCCTTAACCACACTGTTCTAATTACTGTAGCTTTATAGCATGGCTCTTGATGGCTGGTGGGGCAAACTTCTACCCTGTTCTTTTTCAAGAGTGACTTGGCTAGTTTTTGCTCTTTGCTATTTGATATAAACCTTAGAGTTTATCAAGAAATATCTGTAAGAACTTGGTATTTTTATTCGAATTGCTTTGAAAATAGAGATTTCTTTGCCAAGTATTTCTTTCTTTAGTATATTGAATCTCTCAATTTGTCTTTAAAAATTCTCTTTAGTAAAATTTTGTAATTTGTTTCATTAAACAGAAATTGATTGTTATTCTATAGTTTCTTCCTTCTTTTTAATTTTCTTTAAATTGCATTTTCTGTTTTTTCTCCCTTAAATGTAACGGTTTAATTTATCCAACAACCTTCATAACTTTCTTATTAATGATGATACATTATAGGTTATTTCTTGATTTTTCTACAAATGATGACTCTTTTAATTTTCCCTTTCTAGTCCTTATACTCATTCGATTTTTTAGTTGGCCATGGCTTCTAGCTTCTGATAAAATAGAAATGGTATTGGTGTATATCCTTATTTTTTTCCCTACTCTTAAATAGGATGTTTTTAAGCTTCACTATTAAAGGAAGATCTTGGCTATAATTTTTGTTTTTGACCTCTTTTCCTCATCTGACCACTTGTGAATCTCAGATTCTGTTCTGAGGAAAAGTAATGTGCAGGAAAATGTGTATTTTCATATTTAGAGCCTCTTACTGTGCTTGGTACAGTACAGCTGTCAGTCTGTTCTGTGAATGAATGAATACAGTAGGACTTTTGTGAGCCTTAGTTTTCATTGGCTTCTCTTATGTAGTACTGCAGTTCAAAAGTGCTTAAGTCTCTATCTTGTTGACAGAATCAGAGACTGTTTCTGTTACATTTTTAATGTTTCAGAAGAGAAAGTCAGCAATTGAATTTAAGAATTTGAATGCAAATATTTGARGAAACAAGCATTTTCTCTTTTCTCATGGCAGCAATGCTTGTAATATAACAATGCCTTGTAAACCAAAGATCCATTTAAATTATATGAAGCTGAATTTTAGGCTGAGTTTTCTGAGGGAGATTTATTCTGTTTAGGGACTTTGTTTTATCTATTCATACTTCATATGCATCATTATAATCTAGATTAGATTTGTAAATTTAGTACTGTAATGGTACTGTGAAGTTTCTGATCAAAGTCTGAACATAGCAATTAATATGATACTAATAATAAACAAATTAGTTTGTAAAATTTTCTCTGTAATTCAGATTAGACCCCTTCTACTTTTCTGCCTTTCCCTGTACCTGGTTTTTTCTTTTTTAACAGATGGGGAAATTAAGGCATAAAGGTAGAGATTCCCTGAATTTGGTGTATTGCTTACTGCAGTAGACCACTTTGCTTCTGTGAGAATTGTAAACTACCATACTTTCCAGGTATGTGCTGAAATCTCCATTTCTAAAAACCTGCAAGTCTTGCTAATWAAAAAAAAAAATCTTACTCAGTCATTTTATGTGTTTAGCTATACTTAGAATCTCTATAGTGTGACTGAAAGTTCTGCTTCTGCATTTGTAGAGAAGAGTGGAGTATAGAAATTTTGCTGGAGGATTTTTTTAAAAAATAAAAGAGCTGTCCATTTTTTCCCTTAATCATTTTTGTTGTTTTAATACTCCCTACCCCCTGTTTTTCAAAGTTGACCATTGACCAGTGTTAGTTCTAGATCATCGTACCTGACCTGGGGGTAATTTTACCCTTCAGGAGACCTTTGACAATGTTTGGAGACATATTCAGTTGTCACTACTGGGGGATGCCTTTGGCATCTGTAGGGTAAAGGCCAGGGATGCTGCTAGCCATCCTACAATGTACAGTCAGTCCTCAACAGTCAAGGATTATGTGTCCTGAGTAGGGCTGGCAGGTGCGGTTTGGTGCATGCCTGTAATCCCTGTGGCTTGGGAGGCTGAGACAGGAGGATCACAAGTTCAAAGCCAGACTCAGCAAAAAGCGAGGCGCTAAGCAACTCAGTGAGACCCTGTCTCTAAATAAAATACAAAATAGGGCTGGGCATATGGCTCAGTGGGTGATTGCCTTGGAGTTCAATCCCCGGTATGCSCCCCTCACCCCCAAATCTCTATTCTATCTATTCTAGATAATGGTGTTACTTTTTAGTTTTGACCTTGAGAGAGAACTTGTAAGTATGTTGAAGAGCAGCATGATTTCTTAGAAAGAGCAGGGGCTTAGAGTTTTATAGATCTGCTATTGAAACCTTATTTTAGTGTGTCTATTGGTTATAAGTAACTATATTCAGGTGTGTGGAGGAAGGCAGGGAAGGAAAGGAAGGAATACAGATATATTAACACACTATAGAGTGCTGAGTATTATTTGTACCCTCCCTTGCCACTTTACCCTCATATGCCAGTGACCCAGTTTATGTTGTTCACTCCTCTGAGACCAGAGGCAATTTTACATCTGTAGTGTTCAGTTTTTTCATTTGTAAAATGAAGATAATAAATAGTACTTATATTTGGATTTTAGGAAAGACTTTTTAATCAGAAAGTACAAATAGAGTAGGATCTCCTGTCACTGGGATATATTAAGCAACTAGCAAATACTTAATTTTGTTTGTTATTAATAATAACTTCACATTTGCATTGTAATCACTTGGATTTGCTCTCAGAAGTGAAGTATGAAAGTGGGTAGGACTGTCCACCCTGTGACTGGATAAACAAAATATGGTCTACTCATATAGTAAAATGTGACTTTGACATAAAAAGAAACAAAGTGCTGATATATGCTGCAATGTGAATGAACCTTGAAACATATGTTTAAATTCCTTACTAACCTAAGCCAGTCATGAAAAATTATATACTATGTAATTCCATTGATATGATGATATCCAGAATGGGCAAATCTATAGAGACAGAAATTAGATTAGTGGTTGCCTAGGGAGGTTGGAAAGAGTAGAGGAATAATAACTAAAGGAATTTGTTTTAGAAGTGATAAAATTATAGAATGTTCTAAAGTTAACTATGGTGATGATCTCATAACTTAATGAAGATACTAAAAACCCTTGAATTGTACAATTTAAATTAGTGAATTATATGTGAGTTATACATCAACAAAATGAAACAAGGCAAGATGAGGGCTTTCTATTTTCTGTGGTACTGAGTATTTTATCTTTCGGTCTTTACTATGACTTCCGTCTTCTGTTTTCTTTGGGTCTGATTTAGAGGAAGCATTCCTGCAGAAATAGGAGTAACATTGCTGGTTCTTTCTCATCACTAACTAACTCAGTGTGGTAGCAGCTGCCTCATGTACACCTTTAAGTTTTGTTCAATTCAGAACCGTATGAGTTAATACCTCATAGCTAAAAACTTGAACATATTCCACTTTTCTTACAATACATGAGCAGTTTTGCACTGAATTGGCCATTAACTTTTTTTTTTTTAATTATGTAGTTGGACACAATACCTTTATTTTATTTATTTATATGTGGTGCTGAGGATTGAACCCAGGACCTTGCCTGTGCTAGGAGAATGCTCTACCACTGAGCCACAACCCCAGCTCCTGRCCATTAACTTTTGTAACCAGGTTCCAATATATTTTTTTTATACCTTCTTTTTATTTGTTTATTTTTTTACGTGGTGCTGAGGATCAAACCCAGTGTGTCAAAGTGCTAGGTAAGCGCTCTACCACTGAGCTATAACCTCAGCCATAATGTGTCTTATTTTTATCAATGAATAGCAAATTAGAAAACTGATTTTCACCACTGGATGTCAACTAGCTGACTATGGTCAAATGCCTAGAATTAGGAACCCTTTAAGCAAACAGGGACATTATAGGTATGAGATATTTAATAATAAAAACGCTGTAATTTATACTGCTATATTGATAAATACTTTAATGAAAGGTATGCTTGCAAACAAATTCTTTTAAGCTTATATATTTTGATTGCTACAGAATACTCCACCCAAACAGGCTTAAGGGAATTTATGGTACATGTTACTGAAAAGTCTATATGTAAGGGATATCTTCAGATATGTCAGGATGAAGAGTTTCAAACAGTCATGACACTGCTTCTTTTTTAGCCAGGCTCTGCTCTTTGCTGTTAGTTAAATTCTACCTCATGGTTGTAAGATGGCTGCAGCAGCTCCAGGCTTTATATCGCAGCATTCAAGGCTTGTAGGTGTAGAGAAATTTTCTCTGTCAACAATAGAACATTCCTGACTGATTCATACTAGCCTGAGTTGAGGTTTATATTTATTCTAGAACTAATCTCAGTGATCAGAAGACTGGGATATGCTGATTTATTTTATCCAGTAGAGTGTGCCCCTAAACATGAGGAGGTAGGATCAACATTATTCAAATCCCTAGGAGAACTTGGGGTTTCTTTTTATGTGTATGAGGAGGTTGAATTAGATCCTGGGTGGCAAGGTAGTTTATATCCACTGTAATATCCAGCCTATATCCTAGAAATTTTATCCTGATAATAATAGCTAAAAAAAAATTATTGATACTCTGTTTATGGCAAGGTAGAATGAGCAAAAAAACCTTTGGGTAAAAAACAGGATCATGAGTTGGTCTAAGAGAACGGTTCTGAGGAAACTAACATTTCTAAAACTTTTGAAATTGGTGTGATTCTCTCCATCCCTAATTGTGAAGTTCCCATTTTCCCTAAGTATTCTATATGACTTGCCACAGCTCTTTGATTCTAGTACTTTTTTCTCTTTGGACTTTCTAAGACTTGTTACTGCACAGCATCATTTTATTTTATTTTTTTGACTTGTGCCTTCTAACTCAACATATGCAAATCTAAAATCTTAGATTTCCAGTTCTTAAAACAATCAGATCCTTGTTAATTTCTGTACTTTAAAAATGCAGATAGAGCTTAACCAGTATGACTCTTGTCTTGTTCATTCATCACTGTGTCATGCAGCTTAGACTTCTCATGTGGAGACATCAGCTAATGTGATTATCTGATTACTTTCCATTTTTATAGTTGACTAACTTCTCTTTGTTCTTGGGAAACAACAGGCAATCATTTCTTTGTTAGAGTGATTTTTATGGCACATATCATAAAATATTTAGTATGCTATTATTGCAATTAAGGCCAGTTTCTAATGTTGGATTGGATATAGACAGCTTGAGTAAAAGAATTTAAAATATTTTCAAATAGTGATGTGGTTATTAAATAGTTCCTGTTTGGGTAATTTTTATAAATGAAGGGTGATCATTCTTTACTTTTTTTTTCCCCTCTTAAAACTCAGAACCTCTTAGTTTTATAGAAAAAGATATAACTTAAACAAAAATAAAATAATTGGTGTCAGAATAATGATAGTTATTCTCTCTTTCTAATTTTTTTCTTGCATAGTGATCCTGGTGGAGGGATTGAAATGTCTGAATTCATTCGGGAGGCCACACCTCCAGTTGGTTGCAGTTCAAGAAATTCTTATGCTGGTCTAGATCCAAGCAACCAGGTAGGAACGTATGCTGTATTATTTTGCCTTTTTTTTCCTCCTCCTGATGGCAGTCTTAATTATTCTTATGTCTATAATAGTTGATGTTTATTTTTCTAATTATTGTTTTGATTATTTATTAGTAGTGTATTAATATTCTTATTTTTAAATCTCTTCACATGGATAAGTATGTGTAGTTTTGATTGTATTGTAGCAAAAGCCTGGGGAAATTTAGCTTCTAGCTTGCTCCATCTTAGTCGTCAGTGGTTATCCTTAGTTTTAACATTTTAAAAAAAAGAACAACGAAAGGAAAGAAAAACAGAAAGAAAGAACTTATCCCCAAATCTCRATGTATTGATATATGTTAAGATAGAATTCATTAACTTGAAGTAGTATGCAGATCTGCTGGTGGCAATTTTAATTTATTTCTGCTGTGTAGCTTTTACTTTTAGCTTAGGATAGTAATTCTGAAAGTGTTTTCTCCAACCTTGGCAGCAGCCTGTTGTACTCTCATTATGTCTAACCTTGATTTTGCTAATACACTTCTCTCACTTGTCCTAAACATCTCCTGCTCAAGCCAAGTCCCAGTCACTCCTGCTTGCCTTTTCTGCAGATGACTTCACTACCTGGAGTGAAGTAAACTTTGAGAGAAATGTTTTGTAATAGAACATTTTGTAGTTGTGGGGTTTAGTGGTCATTGTGTCAGACCTTTTATTATGTAGAAGAAACAGCTGATTTCTGTTAGCGTCTAGGCTAGCCCTCAATTCCTGATTCTCATTCCAGCATTCCTATTGTTTCATTATACAATTTGATGACTGAAACCACTTTCCTCCCTCTCACACACTGTTGTGGAGGGAAATTTAGATCTTCTTTTCTGGCCTAACTCTAACTCTTCTTGTAACCACATTCTATTGCTCAAGATTTTCAAAGACCTGTGGTGTTGGCCCATTGTCTTGTAGATGGAGCACTTATTACTTATAGCACTTAGTTTTTTGGCATATGATAGTATATGGCAGTTTATAAGCCTCGATAGAGTATATTTTCCTTTTTTTTTCTACTGTTTAGTATATTGCCTGTGCACAGCTGACTTTCAATTAATGATTACTAAATATGTATATAGATAATAAAACCTTAGAAGTAGGATTGGACTTGGCTCCTCATTTAACAAATAAATAGACTATCTGAGAACAATATTATGAAAACCTGATATTCTATGAGTCAAAATCTTGAATAGAGCTTTATTTTCTATTTTGATAAAAGTTTTGCCTGTGTTTATGATTAAAATTCAAGTGAATGAATTTTGGTAACAGTTTTAGTTGTGATTGAGTATAATATAGAATATATGTTATCTTTCCATAACAAGTTTCAAGTTTTATAATACTTTTTTGAAGAATAGTGTTACTATCCTTGATCCTATTTTTTGTTGGCTTTTTGCTTTCCTCATTTGCTTTTTATAGAATGAAATGACTTAATCTCTAAAGATGGCTACATGTTTTGTAATCTTAATTAACCCTAGCCTTTCTTCTTACTTGGTAAAGTAAAGTAATGTCAGATTATCGCAGGAAGTTATTCTACATTTTTCCAACAGTATTTTGGAGAGTCACACCTTTGTTAATTTTTGCAATAGGGAAGGTGAAAAGGCGCAGCAATGGCCAGCCACCTTTGGATACTCTGACCTTGGCCTCATTTTTGTTGGAACTTGTACTTCCTTTAGGGAAGGAGTCCCCTCCTGAATATAATTAAAGCACATTTGCACATAACACACAGCCTTCGGTTTTCCTTAAAATAGTAACTTTTAAATTAAAATGTGCAAATATTGGAGGCTATCATGCTTTTTGGGTTTTAGTGATTTCATGTTGTATTATAATGAAAAATAGGGTGAATGTAATTGTTGTTACCCTTTAGAGAAGCTGGAGTGAAGTAGTCAGGCTTTTTATATATTGGTGGAGATACTCCCATTATGGACATACTGTTTATGGTATGTTTTATTCTGTAGCATTTATTACACATTGTCATAATTATTATGTAAATGCCTTCTGTACCAGATCATGAATTCTTTGTATATAGTGGCTGCATCTTTAGTCATTGTTATCATTTTTTTTTCTTTCGATACCTCTGCTTTGCTCCCTTCCATCTTCTGCCTTCCATTTCCTTTGTCTTTTTTATTTTCCCCTTACCTTTCTCTTTCCTTTTAGTTACTTGTTTTTCTTCAATATTTTGGTGTTTGATAATATTCAAAGCATTTTATTTGGTGTGAGGAATAGGTCTTAATCCCCAAAGAGATTGAGACCTATGATATAACTAAAGTTATAAATGTAATGTATACTGCCAAGGAATTAAGTACAAAGTCCTTTTACAGAGTAATAATTGTCATCRGAATGGTGAAGAAAAAGGGATTACTTCCAAGGAAAATTTATTAATTTCAGGTAGAGAGAAAGGCAAAGATTCCTGGGGAGGTGGCCTTACCTGAAACACTCTCTAGTTGTAAGTACCCTTTTGTCTCAAATGTATAATCCTTCCTGGACCTTTCCTATGGCACTTACCACAGGGAAGAAACACTACAATATTTCAGTTTATGAAAATCATTTGATTGAACAACCAATAAAAAAGAAAAAAAAAAACAAAAAGAAAATCATTTGAATAAAGAACTTCACCCTTAAGTATAGGAAGTTACTATTTTTCTTAATTTTTTTCTTTTCATTCCTAGAAAATTTAACAAATGAAAATAAACAAGAAAATTAAAATCATTCATGATATTGTATATAATAAGAAAACTTTTACAACAAAATGGAGTTCTAATGTGCTTGTTATTTTGAACTCACTTCTCTTTACCGAATGTATCATGAATGTTAATGCCATTGAGTTTTTCCAAAGTGACCTTTTGGGGGATGAATTGCATTTAGATATAGTATTTTATATTCTTGATCACCTGTTGTTTTAGTCATGATTCTTTGCTATTTGGGAGTAGCTTAAATAATACAGAAAAGTATGAAGAATAAAATATTACTACCATGATCTCAGCAAATAATAGAATACCCAACTTATACTATCGTAGAGAAATACGAGTTTGTGTTGTCTTCTAAATCTGGAGGTGTTTGACATTTGTGGCATTTATTCAGCATCTCAGTAATGCTGAGCCTCTGGGTTGGCATTTCCATAGTTCTCTAGGCCTTTTCCCAGGGCTGTAGGATGAGCATAACAGCTTCAGTCAAGACTCTGTTCAAGAATTCTTGGTCCTCTTCTTAGACTTATAAGAATATCTTCCTGAAGCCCTCCAGCAGACTCCCTGTTTCATTCATTGACCAGAACTAGCTCATGTACCTCCCTCTAGACAGGGACTGGGCCCACTGCTCATAGGTGAAAAGATGTGTGACTGACATCTGATTAAAGTGGGGAGTGTGTTAAAGGAGGAAAAGGGGAACACTTTGAGGCTGAGAGCAAATGACAAAAGCCCATATTCCAAAAGGTCTTGAGGAGTCAGGTGTAGTGGCACATGCCTGTTATGTGTAATTCCAGCTACTGGGGACAGGAGAATAGTGAGTTCAAGGAGATCCAGGACAATGTAGTGGGATCCTATCTCCAAAAAAAAAAAAAAACCAGTTTTTAACATTTAAGTTCCTAGAAGGGTGTGCTGAGTTTTTGTTTGCTTTTTTATTTTTTTGGTACCAGAGATTGAACCCACTGAGCCACATCCTTAGCTCTTTTTATTTTTTATGTTTAGGCTGGGTCTCACTAAGTTGCTTAGGGCCTTGCTAAGTTGCGGAAGCTACCTTTGAACTTGGTATCTTGCTATCTTCCTGCCTCAGCTTCCTGAGCCACTGGGATTATAGGCTTATGCCACTGTACTTGATTATTATTTATTTTTGAATTTCTGTCTAGGAGGTTATGTGTTTATAATTCTAGTAGATGATATATGTTATTTCTGTAACTTGTCTAGCTGGTATGGTAAGAATGAAACTTCTTTTGTAATAAAATAGTTTTTAGACTTTTCCCCCCCCGGCCAATTATAGTACCTTTTATGTTTAATTTAAAGTAGAAATTCTGAAATACTAGGAGAGTCAAGCTTAAAAAACAGCTTAGAAATATTACAAAACTTATTTTTTATTGGCTATATCCAGAGTTTTTTAGTATTTTCATCTGTATATGCCTATTTTTAAATACTTTCATTTTATTTATTTATTTTCATGTAGTGCTGAGGATTAAACCCAGTGCCTCATACATACAAGGCAAGTGTTCTGCTACTGAGCCACAGTCCCAGCCCCTCTATATGCCTATTTTTATTTACTTTTTCACTGGCATAGCTTCTGCAGCATAGTATACATCTTGAGCGTACAGCTCAATGTGGTTTTACATCTGTATACACCCGTTCAGTGGCCATCCAGATCAAGAAAATCCTGCCTCTTCAAACACAGTATTAACCTATGTTTTGACCTAAAGAGTTATAGTTTTATGTGGTGCTGAGGTTTGAACCCAGTACCTCACACATGCACCCCACCACTGAGCCACAACCCAAGCCCTGTGTGATGTTTTGAATTTTATTTTACAATGCTAAATTTGCTTAACAGTTTTCTTCTTTGAATCCCTTTAAAGAAATTTTTTTWAAAAAAAAAAGTTGAAAAGAAGAGTTGCTAAGACTTGTTGATGTTGTTGTATTTGGTTTCCTCACTATGTTTGTACAATTTGTGGTATTTGTTTATTTGATTTTTATGGTAGTATAATAAATAATGGCTGTGAAATTTTAGAGAAATATTACACCATCTTGAAAATAAGCACTCTGAAAGCTCAGCAATCACATTTGAATTTTCTAATTATAGTTGTGCTAAAAATTCACTTATTGTAGATGCATGCTTTAGATTTTTATTCTTTTTAAATGTTCTAACCATACTTCTTTTCTGGAACTAAGGAAATTATATATCGATACACTAACAATTGGGCAGTAAGATTTATGTTGCTCTTTGTAGCATATGATAATGGGTTTTGTCCCTCCAAACTATCCCTTTATGTACCCTAGGAAGTCTGAATTTATTCCATGTAGCCTCAGTGCCTGGTTTTGATTTTGTTTATTATAACACTAGCATGTCATGATACAACATAAAAAATGATAATAACTGTATGATACAAATTGCTTGATATTGGAGGCATTTGGCCTTGGGAATTTCATCAGCCCTGAGCATGCAGAGGGACTCAGAATCTTGGCACACCTGTAAGATAACACAGTGTATACCGMAGAAAACAGGTAGTGTGGCTGTGATAGCACATGTCCAGTGTTTTAATATTAATAAAAAGTGACACCATGTTTAGATGATATAATTTTGTTTGATAATCTTGCTAGTTTGTATTGATAAGGACATACTACTAGCATATTATTTAGTTTTATTTACCTTATATTGTGTTTTCAGATTGGATCTGGTTCCTCTCGTCTTGGAACAGCAGCAACTATTAAAGGTAGACATGATCTAACCTGAACATTGCCTCTGACTTTTTTGTTTGTAATAAAGATAATAGTTCTAAACATTCAAATGTCATTTTTGACCTTAGAGCTAAAGTCATTTATCTCATAATAGATTGCTTGATTTAAATTGTTATCTTTTCATCATGCAAATTTCAACATAGTGACCATTTGAATTATATTGCACAAATTATAAGTTATTGATATGTAAGAAACTTCCTTGGTGATAGAAAATACATGTTTAGGTGAGGTTCATGGAAAACTAATTTGATGTGAAAAATTTAAATATGAGAATAAATGTTCTACACATCTATTTAAGATAAATTCATATTATTTTTGCCCTACACTGATTTAGTTTACTTATTTTCCCAAGGAAGGAAATATATTGTATTTTAAATTGTAACATAATTTGTTCCTACATATAGTTACCAGGGATTGAACCCAGGGGCACTCAACCACTGACCCACATCCCCAGTCCTTCTTTGTATTTTTATTTAGAGACAGTGTCTTGTCAAATTGCTGAGGGCCTCCTTAAGTTGCTGAGGCTGGCTTTGAACTTTTGATCCTCCTGCCTCAGCCTCCTGAGCCTGTGGGATTACAGGCATGTGCCACCACACCCAGCTAAAATCTATTATTTAAAGAAACAGTTTTACTAGCTAATATTATGAAGCTTTCCATGTTATTTTGTTCTCAGAGTAATTATGTGCTCTGATAATCCATAATATTTCAGTGCATCTTCCATTATTGTAATCCATGATGTGTAGAAACTGCTTTAGTTGATAGATGTCTACCACACTCCTGATACTGTTTCTTGGTTTTGACACACTAAGCCTTTACTTTAATACAGTGTCCTCATGTGTTTTTCTTAACTTTTAGGAGATACAGACACTGCTAAGACATCTGATGATATCAGTTTAAGTCTGGGCCAGAGCTCTAGTCTTTGTAAGGAAGGAAGTGAAGAACAAGGTAAGAGCATTATGCTGCACAGTGACACATGTTTTGGTGACCAGGGTGAATTTGTGGAATGCATCATTTACATTTTACAAGTTTGTAATAATGAAATGTGGTTATTTTTAGGAAACATTAAATAATATGATTTATTGGGATAATAATAATAATACAGCATTACAAGTACTTTTCCCTTACTGAATTCAAGCATACATGTTTTGAAAAATAAATATGGTAAGAGAAATTTTATGAATGTGTGTCCCAGATGAGATGGGAAGTTAAGAATCCTATACTGTTCTTAAGTTGGTTAGAGCATTAAACCCAACTAAGTAATAACAGTACGTAAAACTATCATTTTCTATTTCTAAATACCAGCTGCTTTATCTCTTACCTGACTGCAGAAACTATAATGTCTTATAAAGAGAAATAAATTGCTATTGAATTTTCTGAGAAACTTTGTCTCCAACATAGTACTTTTCTATAGCAGATTGTGAATAGAAAGTTTGATTATATGTGTTTTTTTTCCCTACTTACTCAATTCAATTGTAAATAAACATTGTGGACTTTATAGTTTGTTTTTGACTAAGACATTTTCATGTTTGAGTTTTAATTTTCAAATATGAAAGGACAGATAAATCATCTCCATTTTTAAGTGGAGATTGTCCAAGGTTATATAGAAACAAAGAACCAGAATTGAATGAGAAACCTGTCTTCCTGTTTCTATCCTGTTATAACCTATTATTATTATTTTAGTTGTGGTGATGATATTGGGTGGGTAGATAGGCTGAAAGATTTTTTTATTTTTAATCATGAAGCTTGCTTATGAGGTTGCACATAGATCACTGAATTATGACATTTGTCCATTAATTTGATATCTTATTTAAGTCCATTTTTCAAAAGTGTACTTTGTTATTGGTACTTGGAAGTTTATTACTGTCACTCAGCTTTTTTGGAATTACAATAAAGACCTCTAAATATACTGTATGGTATGGAAACCTTTTTTTCTTTTAGTTTTCTTTGTTGTTTTTTTTTTAGTTAAAGATGAATTAGTTGCTTTAAGAGTTGTAGTATCCCTTTTTATAACATATAGCCTTTGGAAGAAGATCTTAGCACTAGATGATAATCTTAGAAGGTTGGCACCACTGCTTTTAGGAGTCATATTTCACTATCTTATTTTATATCTGGAAAGTACCCATATGCAAGCAAGATTTTTATAGTCTGGCTAGTTGAGGTTGCAGTCTATCCTTGTAACTAGCTACACGTGAATATAGATAATGATATCCAACATTCATTGAGTGCATACTTTTGTCCAGGTTAGGCATCACCAAACTTACTCTGAAAGAGCCAGATAGCTTTGTAGGTCATGTGGTCTCTCTTGCTACCCAGTGACCTCAGTTTTGCCATGGTAGAGTGAAAGGAGCCATAAATAATACATAAATGAAGGGCATGGCTGTGCCATACTCAGACTTCCTTTACAAATGTGGCCAGATTTGGTTCCATGGTCCTTAGTTTGTCAACTCAGGGTTTAGGTCATCTTCTAAGCACTTGACATGTATTTACCCAGTTAATATTCACTATGTGCATTTGAAGTTGTTACTACTGTTGTTATCACTTTACAGGTAAGCACATTATGGCTTCGAAGTTAAAGGAAACTTGTCCAGAGTCACAAAGCTACAAAGTGGCACTCCTATAAATGAAATCTAGTTTTGAATTACTCTTTACCACTGCATGATACTACTTTGATTTAATTTTATAACTTCTATCATGTAACATTTTTCCATTTAACAAATATCACTGAATACTTATGATTTTCCTGGTACTGTTTCAAGTACTGGAAATAAACCAGTGAACAGACAAAAATTTCTACCCTTGTGTGGCTTCCATACTATTAACATGTAGTCATATGTATAAGTCAGTACATATGTAGTAGGCAGAGGATGAGGAGTTGTGGGGGCTTGAGAAATTATAATTTTAATAGAGTGTTTGAGGGAAGACTCACTAGAGCAAAGACCTGAAGAAGGAGTGTTCTTCCAGGGTATCTAGGAGATTAGGGGTCCTTTTATGGAGAGGGAATAACAAGTGCAAAAGGTGTAAAGTAGGAACAGCCTGTCAAGTCTGAGAATAATGTGGCTGGTGCAAAATAAGCGAAGGGCCAAATTGTGTAGTGTCTTGGAAGCCATTTTAAAGATGTTAGTTTTAATTCTGAGATGAGAAACTACTAAAGGATTATGTTACATTTTAACAGAATTACTGTGGCTTCTATGTTGAGAATATAAGAATATATTAAAAGGGGAAAAAGAGGAAGCAGTGAGCKCAGTTAACCAGATTATTGCAGTAGTCCAGGGCATAGATCATGGTTTAGCTAGCTTTGAGTTTACATGGATTGGCCTCATGATCCAATTCCTTCTTGGTCCTGACTGTGGTTGGCACCACCTAGTGGCAATTTTTGTTCTGGATTAATTATTGTTTGTACTCATGGTTGTCTTGGTGGCTGGCTTGGATTTATAACTTTTAGTTGATTAACAATTAATTGGATTTATAACTTTGAGTTGATTAACAATTAATTGATTAATTGGCACACTTTTTGTCAACATAATTCAGAATTATCAGGAGAAATCTAATTATGTGGGGGTGTATTCTCTTTTTCTTCACTTCTAAGGACTTATTTAGTGTCCCCATATAGCTTTACCCATATCTTCCCTATCTAAGATCAGATCTTTAGGCCATCCAATATTTGTAGAGAGGTTGAGTAGAAGATAGAGGAACTAGTTACAGGAATTTCTGAATGTTTATTGTGGGGCTGTAAAACCGTATGAGATCTACAAGGAGGAGTATAGGCAGACATTAAAAATTTTAAGGACTGAGTCCTGAGTTGTTCACTTTGAGAAGTCCAGGAGACACAGAAGGAACAACTAATGAAATAGAAGTAAAACTGAGACTTATGTCTCAGCATTTCAAGAATGGATTTATCTGTTTGCTAAATGTTGCTGATAAGTCAAAGGACATGAGGACTGAGACTTGTCCATTGAATGTAACATTGTACAGGGTATTGCTAACCTTGAAAGGCATAGTTTTAATGAAGTGGGATTAATCAATTTTAGAATCAGGAGAAGAATCAAAGAAAGTGACTAAAATACTCTTAATGAATTTCTGTAAGGGGGAGCAAAGACCTAAATCGATAGTTACAGGGGCTGGGGATGTGGCTTAAGCGGTAGCGCACTCGCCTGGCATGCGTGCGGCCCGGGTTCGATCTTCAGCACCACATACAAAGATGTTGTGTTTGCCGAAACTAAACARTAAATATTTAAAAATAAATAAATAAATAAATGCCTTTAAAAAATAAATAAATTGATAGTTACAGAGGAAGTGGGGATAAAGGAAGGATTTAGATTTTGTAAGAGAAATAATATTGTATTTGTTGGGGAATGATCTAGAAGAGGGGAGGAAAATATGATTTATGTTAGAAAATATAGTTACATATGAAGAAAATAATCACATATCTGCCACTGAGAAACTTTGGTTAATATTTTTGTAACTAACTTTTTTTTTCTTTTTTTATTGTGACATAACTTACATGACATTAAAATCTATCCTTCTATAATATCCAGTTTACTGGTTTTTAGTATATTTCCAAGGTTGTGCACCATTACCATTGTCTTAGTACCTGAACATTTCATTACCTTAAAAAGAAACCTGCACCCATTATACTGTCCATTTCCTTGTTCAGCCAGCCTCTAATAGTTAATAGTTGTCTTTCTGTCTCTATGTATTTTCCTGTTCTGAACATTTCATATGAATGGAATTATATAATGCATGGCTTTTTGTATCTGGCTTCTTTCATTTACTGTGTTGTTGTATGTATCAGGACTTACTTAATTCCTTTTTTATGACTGTGATAGAATCACTTTTTTTAATATTGATTTTTTAGTTGTAGTTGGACATAATACTTTCATTTATTTATTTATAGGTGGTGCTGAGGATCGAACTCAGGGCTTCACATGCACTAGATAAGTGCTCAACCACTAAGCCATAATCCCAGCCCCTAGAATCACTTTTAACAACTTAAATTCCTCTGGACAGAATTAAACCTTTCATTTGTTTAGCCCTATTGAAAAAAAAAAATACGTGTATTGAAGTTTGGCTGTTATGTGAAAAAATTGAAATTTCTACTTCATTAATGTCTTAGAAGGGAGTTAGTGGATAAGTTTTTGTTCCATAAGATTTATATCCTTGATAATTATTTATAAGAGATAAGTATCTAGAGTCCCCCCATAATAACATATTATAATTTTTTAAAAAAATATTTTTAGTTGTAGGTGGACATAATACCTTTATTTTGTTTTTGTTTTTTTAAAATGTGGTGCTGGGGATCAAACCCAGTATTTCACATATGCTAGGCAAGCACTCTACCACTGAGCTACAGCCCCCAACATATTATAATTTAATACTACAAAATAAATAAGATGCTAACTTTTAAAAATTTTGAAATTTAGAGAGGAATAGTGACAACTCTTTTGGGCAAATGATAAAGAACTTGGGTTTTACTTATCTTGAAACAAAGCATAATAGGGCATTTATAAATTACAATTTATATGGTACATTCTAGAGGCTATTTAAGTTTTTAATTAGTTAGATCAGATTTAGATTTAGATGTTTTAAAGGTACAGAAACATTTCTAGTAACTCATTTTATTTTAGTCCTAGGGAGAAATGTCTGCTTTTATCATTGAGATTCTACTGAGAAGAATCTGACTCACTATAGAATTTATTATTGCTTTTGTCTATGCAGTTATGACAAATAAGACAATGCTTCTTTTTATTGAACTAAAAGCAGATTCAAGCACCTTGTCTGTCAAAATATATAGTAAAAAGATCAGCGTTTGTGCAGATCAGTTGTCAAGCTATAGTCCAAGATAAGTTACAATGTAGGTAGGTTTACTCATATTTTATTTTCATAGTATATATGGTAATTCAGATCACTCATCACTACCCTAAATGATGGATTAAAAGAATGGACTTACATATATATAGGAGAATATGTGTTTTTTTTTCTTTCCACAAGGCATTTTGGGTTGCTGTATGAATGATGAAAGAGAAAGTGCAATATCTTGTCTTATAATTACTGTTATTTTTTAAATCATTGTGAACAGTATGATACCTTTCATCATTATGTCATAATTATTGGTAAGGATTGGTAAGCCCTGTAATTTTCTGTTCCCGAATATTCTAGGTTTTTGTTGATTTGTAAAATAATAATATAAGTTTTTCAGAAGGATTTTAGTATTGTATTAGGTAAAATAATGGTAGCTACCATTAATTGTAACAGCACTATGTCAAGCCAAGTATATTCGAAGAACTCAGGATTCCTTGCTTACTAGTACTCAGTGAGGTTGACATATTTTATAGATGAAGAAGCATGCTCAAAAAAGTAACTCCAGGTCACCTCATAATCCAGGTCTATTTTAAATAAAATTCTTTTTTGCTTCTTATTTTATTATTGATAGTCTACTGAACCTTTTCTGAGGCTTGTTGGAGAACTTGGATTTGAAAGTTCAGTTCATTCCATTAGTAGAAAGCTTTCTTTGTGTAGCTATGAAGTAGAAATCAGCTCTTTTGAATGACTGGTCAACTGTTATTCACTGAACTGCTTGAGAAATTGTTTATATTTGATTTTTTGTATGGCTTGAATTCTTTCCATTGTTAAACAATGCATAAGTATACATACATCTGTGTTAACATTTCCAAATATGTGTTTGAAACAGATTTGGCAACTGATAGGAAGCTCTTCCGTCTGGTCTCCAATGATTCCTTCATCTCTATTCAGCCTTCTTTGTCCTCTTGTGGACAGGACTTGCCAAGGGACTTCAGTGACAAAGTGAGTCTGCCAAGTCATAGCCACCACCACCACATCGATCAGTCTCTGTCCAGCGCCTGTGACACAGAAGTAGCCTCTCTTGTACCTTTACATTCACACTCTTACAGGAAAGATCACCGGCCGCGAGGTGTACCACGGACTTCCAGCTCTGCTGTGGCCTTTCCTGATACTTCACTGAATGACTTCCCTCTTTATCAGCAGAGACGTGGGTTAGATCCAGTAAGTGAGTTAGAATCTTCAAAACCTCATTCTGGATCCAAAGAATCCTTGGTGGAAAATGTTTGTCTACCTGGGGAATTCCAGCTTGCTGGTGATCTGAAAAACAGTAATTCTCAGCCACCCACAAAAAGTGGGAAGAGCAAAGCTCTAAATGCAGACAAAAGCATGGACAGCCTGAGGAGCCTGAGCACACGGAGTAGCGGGTCAACAGAGAGCTATTGTAGCGGCACAGACCGTGATACCAACAGTACTGTCAGCAGCTATAAAAGTGAGCAGACTAGTTCCACTCACATAGAAAGCATCTTGTCAGAGCATGAAGAGTCTCCTAAAGTGGGAAAGAAAAGTGCTAAGAAAAAAGAGTGCTGTGCTGACTCAGAGAAGAGTTGCTGTGCCAGTGACAAAAGGACTAACAGTGACAAGACTGCCTTGGAAGTGAGTACAAATAGTGGGGCTCCTGAGGCCCAGGATTCTCAGGCCTCTGATGAGATGCACAACCAGAGAGGGCTCAGCACCTCTGCATCTGAAGAAGCCAATAAAAACCCCCATGCAAATGAGCTAATTGCACCAGAGGACCCAACCCCTGAGAAACCTGCTGAAAGTAAAGAAGAACAGAATGAGACGCCTGTCACTTTGGTGGATTTAAAAGTTTGTAAAGATACTGGTGGAAAGCAGAAGGAAGGGGATGTACGACCCAAATCCTCTAGCTTAATCCACCGGACAGCCTCTGCCCACAAGTCAGGCAGGAGAAGGACAGGAAAGAAACGAGCCAGCAGTTTTGACTCTAGTCGACACAGGGACTATGTTTCTTTTCGAGGTGTTTCTGGAACCAAACCACATAGCGCTATATTTTGTCATGATGAGGACTCTAGTGATCAAAGTGACTTGAGTAGAGCATCAAGTGTCCATTCTGCTCATCAGTTCAGCAGTGACAGCTCTTCTAGCACTACTTCTCATTCGTGCCAATCTCCTGAGGGCAGATATAGCGCTCTAAAGACCAAACACATTCATAAGGAAAGGGGTACAGAATCTGAACACTCACATAGAGCTCATCCTGGTCTTGAAGGAACTGGCAAAAAGAGGGCTACACGACGGACTTCCAGCACAAATAGTGCCAAGACTCGTGCCCGAGTATTGAGCTTGGACAGTGGCACAGTAGCATGTTTGAATGACTCAAATAGGCTAATGGCACCTGAAAGTATAAAGCCCTTAACCACTTCAAAATCAGATCTTGAGGCCAAAGAGGGAGAGGTGCTGGATGAGCTGTCTTTATTGGGACGGGCATCCCAGTTAGAAACAGTCACTCGATCTAGGAATAGTTTGCCAAGCCAGGTTGCATTTCCTGAAGAGGACGAGCAAGATGCAGTCAGTGGAGGTAAGTAAAGTACAAGAAGAGATGTCCCAAGAGTCATGCAAATTTGGTGCTATTGATGAGAGTAATGCTTAATTAAAATGTGCTTTCTGTTAATATTCCCCTTCCACTGTGCCGTAAAACAAGCTTTTTTAAATGAAGAAGGAGATAATTGTCTTAAAGGTTTTGGAATGTATACCAAAAAACTTGTTGGGTTTGTCAATTTGTTCTTAATGGCCTCCACTTTTCTAAGCTAGTTGCTATCTGTTAATATTTTGCCAGGAATAACAAAAATTGCCTCCCTTTCCATGTAAAGCAATAGTAATAATCACATTGGCACAGGAAACCACTTGTCATCTCTTATGTAGTGCATGCCACTGAACTTCCAGAATTAGATCACTCTGTTTATCATATGAGATTTCTCCAAATATTATGTTAGTTTCAGTTATGTATTTTAAAAATTGTGGCTCTCTTTTGTCTGTTTGATTTTATTTCATGCTTAATTCAAGTTACCTATAACTTAATTATAACTTTTTCTTTACTAACCTTCAATTTTTAGGTTATAGTGCCATTTTGTATTCATTAATGGATGTATGATGCCCCCAAGACAGTGATGGTGTTTTGGTTAAAATAACAACTCATTTATTTCAGGTTTATAGAGAATTGTACAAAGTTGGATAGGTGATTTTTGTATTCTGTCAGTGTGTGTTGGCCTCATTATTTTAGTTGTTTTAAATAGTTGTTTCTATTTAATCCTAAGCAGTATAGTTTAATATGTTCTGATTATTAGAAATCTGCTTTTTTAAATATAAATAGAAGATTTTATGTTATTAGCATCTTAGCTTTTTAAGATTCTACACTATTCTCTTTATTTTGCTTTATCCTTAGTTTTAGATTTTAGTTTATTGGTGTAATAGTGTTTAGTCTCTGTTGAAAGTTAAACTGAGTTGGACTTGTAGCACACACCTCAGTTTGGGAGGCTGAGGCAAGATGATTTTGAGTTCAAAGCCAATCTCAGCAATTAAGCAAGACCCTAAGCAACTTAATGAGACCCTGGCTCAAAAGAATACATAAAAAGGGCTGGGAATGTGACTCATTGGTTAAGTTCTCCTGGATTCAGTCCCTGGTACCTGCCCCCCCCCCAAAAAAAATTAAGCTGGATTTTTTGTTGGTACAGATATTCCCAAACATGTGACTGTGCTTTTTATTTAAAAGAATTTTAATTTCATCCAGAGCATTTTACAAGTCCACATTGTAGTAAACATATTTCTTTCTCCCTCTCTCCTCCTTTCCTCCTCTCTGTGCTTTCTCCCTTCCTCCCTTTCTCTCTCTCTCCCCCTCTCTCCCCCCTCCCTTTCTCTCTCTTCCCTTCTCTCCTCTCTCCCCCTCTCCCATCTCCCTCATTCTCTCTCTTCCCTCCCCCCTCCTGCTTCAGTAAAGTTTCTAACAAAGATTAATTTCTAATGGATTGTAAAGAAATGATCTGTAGTGCCTCAGGAAGAAAGTAGTCTATTAAACCTAAATTTGGGGAATGAATTGTGTCTGAAATGTTTTTAACCATTTGGTGACAATATAGTAATTAAGTTTCCTGGAGTCATTGTGTAAGATTTAGATTATAAAATATAGCTTAAGTTGTTATAAAAAAATGAGTAAACCTGTTTAATTCTTATAGTTGCTATCAAAATAAAATTTGAACATGCTATAATGCAAAATATTATTATTCTAGGTATTGAAATGTAAATACTGAAAATAAGTGCAAAGCCTATAGTAAATCTATGCTTTCATATTTAAACCATCATTTCCTTTTCATAGGTAATGTGGGTTGTTCTGTTTTTTAGGAATAGTTACATGGAACGTGTTACTTCTTAATATAGTTCTTTGACTCATATAAGCCCTTATTTTTCAGATTCCAGCTTCTGATTGCTTTGTTTATGTTCTTTTTTAAAGATCTCATTAAATGCTAATAAGAAGCAAAAAATGAACTAAAGTTTTTATTCCTACTTTGGTAGAAGAAATGTAATAGTATGTAAATCTTTTTTTTTTTTTTTGCCAGAGGAAGACATTCAGGGACTATTTTTGAGCTTCATTGTGTAAGCAAAACAAAATTACTTAAATGTGTTGGGGTTTTATGTTCAGTTGGTTTTCATCGCAACTAAATATATGGGTTTTTTGGGAGGTTCGTTTACTTGGGCTTCTTGGAAGATTGGAAGTAGTAGGAGGGGATTTGTTTTTATTCTCATTATTTAAAAATTATATAGAATCTTTTCTACTGTCATGTATAACTAAAAAGAACAAAACAAAAAAATTATATAGAATCTCAAACACATGTTAAAGATACTTGTTTACATAAACATTATTTGTTACAAGTCTTGTCTGGCAATTTAGGAGAAATGTTTTTGGGCTGTCTAGTTTTTTCTTTCATACTGTACTTCCAAAGCATGTCAACAAAATATGTTACTGCTTAACTCTTAGACATAAAACCACAAATAGATTTTATTTCAGTGAATTTGGAGGTATTGGTGAGTTCTCCGATTATTTTTGTTTTATTTTTAAACAGGGTGGTGTTGGTTGTGAAGGGATAGCATTAGGAAATGCTTTATAAAGTATTAAAATTTCTAAAATAGGAGTTAATCTAGTTTAGTGACATGGAATTATGTGCCTTTGTTAGTATAGGAATTCCAATGTTGTGAATCATGCAAAGCTATTTACCTTCTTTAACCCTCAGCTTCTTCCTCTTAAAATGAAATGATCAGTGTACTTATTTCATAGGGTAATTGTGAATATTAAGGGCATTTGTGCACTAAAATGCTTAGGCAGTCTGGTACATAGAAAATGTTGCTGCTGTTATTATTATTAAACAGGCTTGTTTTACTAAATACATGTATCCTATCGTATTAATTCTGTGGTATAAATAATGTAGAGAAAAATAATAACATGTAGAAATAAATTAGAGATGTTCTAATTGTGCCATTGTGTGAAATTTGACAATAATTAAAGTAAAATATTAAAAAATTCAGATAATATTATCTGAATTTCTAATTCTTTATATAATACTAGCAGAAAAAATTATTTTTAATTGACATCTAATCTAGTGTTATGGATTTTACCTTATTTTGGTAACAATGTGTCATATAACTTATCTTTCGATATTTAGTTATGAAAGAAGTGTTTGTTTTAGTAATTTGGTTAAAATCAGATGTTATGAATAATCTTCTGCAGTTACTTAGGAAAAAAATTTTAAATTCAGACTAAGAGATTTTCTGTTGACCTCTTGTTTTATACTTAATTTCTCTTTTGTAATTATAAATCATATCTAATTTATGACTGATATTTTAAGAACAAAAAAAGTACAATTATATATACTAGCAAAATGTCCTCTGTTTTCTAGCTTGTACTTTAATAAATGATTTTTTCTTTTAAAATTTTTATTGGTACATTATCATTATGCATAATAGTGGAACTCATTGTGAAAGATTTGTACATGTTTATAACATGATTTCCTATATTTAAATCCCCAGTATCTTCCCTTTCCTCCTCACTCTCTCTGATTCCCTTCTTCTGCCCTACTGTCTGTCCCTTAGCCCCTTGATTCCCTTCTCTGCTGGTCTGTTTCTAATTAAAGTTTTTTTGGGGGGCTATTAAACTTTTGTTTTGAGCTAGTAAACTTATTTTCTGCATGATTCAAAACCGTTAGCATATTTTCTCCATTATGTATCAGATTGTAAAGAATAGCCAGAGTAGAGAGGTTTGTGGTTTACTTATTACTTTGTACATTTTTCTGGATTTCTTAACATGTATTTCTCTGAGAAAATTATTTTAAATAGAATATTTAGATCATTTTGTAAGTAATCCTTTAATAACTTTGTGTTTGAAGCCAAAGATAAAGGTAATCTTTTTTTCCCCCCTCCTCTAAAGTGGAGATTGAACCCAGGGCCTCACACACTCTAGGCACATGCTCTACCATTGAGCTATGTCCCCAGCCTTTTTTAGTTTATTTTCAGACAGTCTCCCCACGCTGCTGAAGTTGGCCTTGAATGTTTGATCATCCTGCTTCAGCCTTCCAAGTAGCTGGGATTACAGGCTGGTATCATGCAAATGTACCACTGTGCCTGGCTCAAAGATAATCTTTAAAGAGTACTACTATTCAAAGAAAAGTCAAGTCTTCTAAATAAACAAATTTCTGAGCGTTTGTGCTACATATGTAAATTATAGGGCTCCCCCCCCTTCAAATATCACTGGGCATTGGAAAGAAAAGACGAAGACCACTGAACAGACAAGAAAATGTGAATTAAAGCTTTTGTACTTTGCTAAGTACATAGGGCTATAAGGACTAATAAACTTGTTTTTCTGATTTCTTTGTTCACATGACATGTTAGAAGAAGCAAGTTAGTAGAAGGGGATGGAGAGAGGCTGAAGTAATGACAGCAGAAAAAATGCATAGCCTACCCTAAAGGAGGAGCTGTAACTATACTGAGCAAAGCCAGACACAACAGAATAAGATCAGTAAATATAGGGACAAGCCATCTTTTATTTTAATAGTGTTCAAGGACATCATGTTATCTGCTTAATATTGTACTATAGTACAGTGCTACAATTGTATGAGTAGTTGATCTTGATTCATTAAGATTATGTTTATGCTATTCAAAGCCTAGACATAAAAATCTTAGAAGCATACTCATTAAGTGAAGTGAAATAGCTTTGGAAAACAAATCTTCCCTTACAACAGTATCAAGAAAAATGGTATTTTATTGAGAAAGTAAATAAGTGTTCATATATGGAAATAAACATGGCAATATTTTTTCTTTCTAGCAGAAGTGAAATTTCTGTTTGAAAGTGAACAATTACATTTTAATATCTCTAATTAATGATTGAATACTCTGACAAGCCATGAAACCCATGCCTCAGTTTCCTTAATTGTAAAGCAGGAATCATAACTTTCCGCCTGCCTCACAGTTAACTGTCAGAGTGTAATGGGCTTAGAAGTGTGAGAGCRCTTTGTAAATTGTGCATTCATTATGTAACTT